TTGACTCAAACCCAAGAAAATCTGCGAACTTCTGAAGACCAGGTGAAGGCCTTGAAAGATCTCACGCCTCTCTCCAAGCCTCTTATAACTCAGCTCTGAATGAAAATGAGAGTCTCAAAAATGAAATTGCTGCTTGGGAAAGAGATTATGAGCTTCTTGAAGATAAGGCTGCAGTTGATGTAAGCTGGGCTTTTCTGAACTCCCGACGTGATGCCTTAGTTGAAGCCAGCCAAGAAAACTTTAATCTGGAGTCGGAGTTAGCTAAGGTGATGGAAACTATTGAAAAAGCTCAATAACCATTGGACTTCCCTTCTCCCACGATTGAAGTTTCCGAAGCTGATGCTACCAGAGTCGATGTTCCTGTGACCGCTGCACCCTCTTCAAGCTCAATCATGTCCCTTACTGCAAGTCAAGTTGAAACTTCATCTATTGAGACTCCAGTGGTTGGATATCAACCCACTTCCGTTGGTGATGCTGTTCCAGTTGAGCACGCTGATGATCCTCCTTCAAACCTTTCATCTCAGTAAAAATTTATATCAATTTTTGAATTCCTTTTTGCAGGTACCTACTTGGAAAACAGTATTTAAAGCTTTTGGGTTCATTTGAGAGTTTTTGTAATCAAACCCTTGGCTACTATTTGAGGGTTGATTTTTGGAAATACAAGTCCCCAAGTCTTGTTATGGGGCATTTAGTATAAACAATTTGATGACTAAGTTTATACTTAGTCTTTAGTTTTACATATTAGGAAGTTTTTATTTATCATTGCACTTCCGTATGTTCTATCCTTGCCTTTTTATTTTTAAGGACTTAAAGAATAGTTTGCATTTTTGTTCTTTAAGAAATGCTTCTGTTATTCCCATGACTAAATAACATGAGTTTTATAAAAGAGGGCCCTTTTATATTTTGACACTTAACGAAGAAGACGTCTCAACTTCATAATGGTGTAATCATACGATAAAAGAAATAGGAACACACATGTTTTTTGTAATAACTTTGACAAGTTTTTATTTCGGAACTTTGACAAGTTTTGAGTAATACTTTACATGTATTTGAATTACATCTATAACTTTCTCGCAACTGTTNCCCCCCCCGTTTTTTTTTTTAAAATAAAAAGTGTATTTTTACATTATAATTCAATTTCACGGGGAAATTACCCACAAACTTGCACTCAATTGATAAAAAATTATCATCAATGAAAGTTGATTAAGGTTTAGATCATTTGTGCTTTGTGGTCATTTAATTTTCCATTAATCAAGATTGAAAAGGTTAGTTGGTACAATTTTGTCGGAATCTATCTATATATATGGGAGAGGCAAAACAAGGATAGGATGACAAGTGTCATCAGTAGAAAAATTCTAATTCTAGAAAAAGAAAATAAATATATAAAATACTTAGGAAAATTTAAGGATAAAAAGATAAGCGTCATCACCAGAAAAAATTTAATTTTGAAAAGCAAAATAAATAAATTAAAATACTTAGCAAAATTAATAAACAAAAAACTACATGTAGTAAAACTCTTATTAAAATAAGTTAAAAAAGGATAGGACAAGTGATACGGTATTTTTTAATTAATATAAAGAAAAATAAGATATAATTGATTTTTAACTATTCTTGCATTAAAATGTAGGATATTCCTTTTTTTTTCTTTTTTTCGAAATACCTTCCAAATTCCTAACTCTTGGAGCTTGTGTTGAGCAATGTCAAGTGGCTTATTATTAGGTTGACATGTGGCTAGAAGTTGATACATTTTAAATTAATTTTAAAAAAATAAAGTAAATTAAGTAATTATTATTGATAAATCTATCCAATTTAAAATTGAGACAATAGAATATTAAAATCAATATTCTAAGCATAACAAATATATCTTCTATTTTATATTAAAAAGAGAGTAGCAGACAAAAGTATTAAACAAAGTAATACGCTAAAAAAAATTTATATTAAAAATTTTTATAATACTAAACATTGGATAATATAATAAAGAAAAATACAGAACAAAAAAAATTATTCGATAACTATATAAGTCTTCTTTTTAATTTAATAAATATTTTATTATTGGCTATATCATATTGATAACTGAGATGACCATTAAAATTTATTAAAGATATGTTCAAATTAAACAAGCTTGATCACATTTTATTTTAATCCACGCATCGCGCGAGTACAACTGCTAATATGTAATTGTTTAACCAAAAATTAGATTTTAGGTCAAAGTTTGAATTTAGAAGAACTCGGGTTACTGATAATCGGAAAAGTGTATAAGAAAGAAATTTTGAATGATATAATCAGAAAGCAAATAAAACAAAGTATATTCTAGTAGTGTTTTTCGTATCCTACAGATGTTGTGACTTCCTCTTTTTATAGTTAATTTTTAAGAGAAAATGTAATGCCTTTGCTTTAATGAGGCAATTACGAGCAATAAATGATATTGAAGGAAACGTTACTCAATCATTAATATTAAATACAAATTCTCTAACGTATTTGGCATTTAATGCTGAATTTGGACTCTTTTTCGCTATCAGATTGATGTCTCCAATTGCTTCTGATCTTCGAACTTTAAATGACTCGAACAGGTACGAGTCTCGTTTCATTTGAATAATAGTTCGTGCCTTTAAATATCTTCTCTCCCGCGTCTGTTGTTGCTCGTGTCTTCTAACTGATTACCACGTTTTGACTATTTGACCGGTCCACGTGTCATGACACGTCACCTTCAATATTTAAATTCAGTTTTTTCCTAATACAGTATTTAAGCTATTGTATTCATGAATACAGTAGCAAAAATAGGCGTGAATCAGGGAAGTCCAGCTAATCAGTTGTTGTATTCGAGTGTATTCGACTGTATTCATGGAGTGAAACATGGGATTACAGTTGGACAGATTATTGTATTCGACCGTATTCACGGCGTGAAATAGGGGATTACACTATTTTTAAGACGGAAAGTGAATCAATTAACATAATAGACTCCTAATATAACTCAACAAACTCAATTATAACAAACAAATTTTGTATTTTCAGTTATAATAAAGATTCTCAACCGAAAAATACCCCAAAAATATAGCAATCTTCAGAGAAATTATATAATACATCTGAATACATGAATTATATTAATTAAAAAAATATATGAATACATTCATGGCATATAGCGAGACAGTGAATACAATGAAATACATAGAATACAGCGGGATATATTGAAATACAATGAGAAAAAAAGACAGTGAATACACTGAAATACATGGAATACAATGAGATACATTGAATTACAATGAAAAAAAAGACAATGAATACAATGAAATACATGAAAATACAACGTGATACGTTGAAAATACATTGAAATATATTAACAGAAAATCAAGTTGCTCAGCCCCAAAATCCGTCGTCTTTGTTCAAGAACAAACCCTAATTTTCGGCGAATCCGCTGTCGAGCAAAAACCCTGAATCTCACTGTTCCGACATATCCTGTACATTGCATTTGACACATCTGGCAGTACCATCGTAGCTTTTGTGAGCCCTTAGGTTTTATTCGATTCGCCATAAGCCCTTACCAAATATCTGCCAACCTTTTCTAGTTGTTGGTCTGTTTGTTTCAATTGGGTTTTGTGTGTATGTGATGTACAAATCATACATACATATACATAGTATCTATCTATGGTTGTATGCCACCTCTTTGTTTTTCTCACTCTTCAGTTATAATCATATGAAAACTCTTCACACGCCGCCTCACTTCACTTTCACTTCCTCTGTGTTTTTCACAATTCAAGAAAATCTCCCTTTTTGTTTGATTTTTAACCTTGAAAAATCAAGAAAAGCCTTTTCCTTGTGAATTCATAATTCATGGAGAAAGATTAGTGTTGAGAGAGAGTGGAGAAAAATCTGAAAGAATGAGAGAGAAAAATAATACAAAGCATATTTTATGGCTTAAGGGTAGGAGGTGACTATAAATAGTTATTTGGCTATAAAAATCAAAAGGTAGCTATAAAATATAATTTTATAAAAGGGTATTTATTTAAAATAAATAAGGTATCAACATTTTCTACGAGAGGTAAAAATTCCATAATTCCATCTTTTTCCAGTTGCAAAGACCACAAAAGATGGTACTTATGGATTGTTGAATAAATTCGAACCATTTAATTTGGTGGAGCGTTATGGACAAGACACGTCCAATTAAAGAATTTTATCTTAAATCAAGTCCCTCTTATTTTTTTCTTTAGATTCTCGCCAATTAGGGGTGACAAAATAGTTCAAAAGAAAACAGTTAACCACCCATATTATCCACTAAAAAATGGGTCGGATAATGAACTTTTTAAAAACGGATCAAATATGGATAAGAACCATATTATCCATTTAGAAAATGGATAACCCATGAGTAACCAACGGATAACCAATGAGTCTAACTTTTACATTTGTAAAACCTCAAATTGGGGGTTCCTCAAGTTAGGGAGACTAAGAATTCTCCCAAAAAAGATCATATACAAAAAGTCATGGATAACCCATATTATCCGCCGGTTAACCCGTTTTTTATCCATATTAAATATGGGTCGGATCGGATAAATGATCCATTTTTTATTACCCGTTTTCAATCGGAACCATATCCGACCCGACCCGCCCGTTTGTCACCCCTATCGCCAATGGTATAAGAATTAATGGAGGATGCACAAGGCAGTTAACATATCGTTTCTCTCTATCGGGGTTGAAGACTTCGAACTTCAAACACTGCAGCAATGAAGCAACATCATGGGAAAAAACAGGGTTTCGTATCCAACACCAAGGATCTGTCCTTGGCAGCAAGAAGTAAACCATAAGAATTTCCCACATTATTCTGTTCCAAGGTGAAATATTTACATTTTATCCCTTCACGTTGATTTAAAAACAAAGCAAAGAAACAAAAGCTTTTACCCAGTCTCACAACATTCGCTCGCCCCAATAATATCACTATTTCAAACAAAATTTGGAGCATAACGTAGATAAGTTCACCATCATGCATTCATAAACCAAATAGACGGATAGAGAGATGAACAAGAGCACAGCCAGAAGACTGATGATATTAGCCCCCCAACATAGGTTGAACAGGGGAATTATTTCAAATACATAAATCTTCTGTCAAAGCTTTCTCTCCCCCCTCTGAAAGGAAAACTTACTGAAGGTTGAAAGGGGGAGGGATTTTCCTCAGAGTATGTGAAAACTTATGGATGTATTTATACAACAGATCCGCTAAAGACGCCTCCTTTCAAACATATTCTCATCGCAATGAGGGTCAAGCCACTCTCTCTGGGAGCCCTTTGATCCTGTCGGCATTTTTCCACCCACAAGCTCTCTCAGGTGTTCGACCTTATTCTCGCGACCACTTCCACTGTATCTTCTGTCAGCTTCCTTCAGTTTCTGTCTTAACTTCTGCTTGCGATTATTAGCCGGATTGAGCTCTTGTTGCTTTGATTGTGAAGGAGGAGCGCCGTGAGGTCCAAGGTATATATTCTCCTCTTTCGTGGACTGCAAAAAAATAATTAAGCAAGGAGATCAATTCAAACTTGAAAGAGAGAGCAATCTTGGAAAAGTTGACATAAAAAAATTGTTCTTCTGAGTGGAGAGTGAAAAATCCTAAGAGCAAACCTCAGCTGGAGTTGTCGTTGACTCTTCAACTTCAACAAAATTACTAGTACTATTTTGGCCAGGATCTTCAAGTTCCAAGCTTGGAATTACATATCCTTCAGTGTCTGATGGTCAAAAACGTCAAATCAATATGTTAGTTCACATTACATCTAAAAACTTTGATGTACATTATGAAGTCAAAACATGCTAAAAGTGTAACTTTCAGCACATTTTAACTAAACAAAATCTTAAATCTAGATGTGGAACCGGATATATTAGCAAAGAAACGAAATGGCTGGGAATAAGTACTTCAATATTTAAACATGGAGAGACACATACATACTCAAAGAGGAATGCACACAAAGTAGCAAACTGATGGAAATTTCTTACCAAAAGAGAAATAGGTAGTAAAAACCATCCAGGATCGCAATCAAGCATTTACACAAAGGGAAAAAGCACTAAATCCAGGACAAAGGTCTATACATCCTGTAAACCATTTTTTTATGAATCAAAAAGTTGTAATCTACAATGAAAAAAGTAGACATCTTTCTCCTGCACAACAAAAGCTTTAGCACAGTAAGTACAGCGATAGCTCCAGATCATTTATGCTATCTTTTTCTTTTTTTGAGAATGAATTTATGTTTATTTCTGTTCATTTAATAATCTCTTTTCAGGACTTAGAAGTTCATTGTTTCATCTTCAAAACTCGGTAAATAATGGCTGCTCTATGCTTAAATATTAGGCTTGGTGAAACAATCAGGTGTCGAACCTGTGATTCATACCCTCGGTCATATTCCACATTCCTTCTAAAATTGGGCAACAAACGCAACAAAGTATAAAATTCCAAACTCTTGAAAGGATCAATACACACCTAAGCATCTTAAAGACGCATATCAGTTAAATCTACCTTTCTAGGGGGATCTTAGTAGCTCAATTATTTGGCTACCTGAACTTTGTTAGTGAGGGTTCGTTTCCCTTCCCCTACCCCCAATATAATTAAAAAATCTACCTTTCTAGTGAAACTATACAATGAAGAAACAGATGTAGGATAAGGAATTGTGGTTAAAAATTATTCAAGTCGCTCCTCTAGTCAACCAGATGTAAGTACCAAGTGTCGAACCCTTCAGAAGACATTACTGGGAAAAAAAAGTACCAAAGGATTGAACCCTCGTGACGTGTTTTCTAATACAATTACCGTCATATATCAATAATTTTGCTTATAAAAATGACATTTCCGGTCTATGACCTCATCATTAAAGCAAAAAATCTGCTACTGTCTTATCTTCCACATCAGCATGACAAATGTCAACTTGTTTCAAGAAAAAAGAAAAACAGACTGATGAAACAGCAAATAGAATTGTTAGGTTAAATACACACACACACACACAAAAGGTTGTGCTTTATTCCAACTGAATGGGATAATTATTCTGGGCTTGCTAATCCATGTACCCAATTCATCAAATCAAAGCTAAAAGCATTTCAATATCAACAAAGCATTGTTTGGAACAATCCAAAACCCACCTTCAAGTAAACCGTCAGAATAATTAACACCTTACAATTCTTTTGAAAACGCTTTCACATAAATTAACCGGAAAAAATTAATCATATCTCTATGCTGTATTCAGCAACATAATAAGAACCCACTTAACATCAATTAAATAATCCGATTAAATTGAAATCCATATATCCAATTAACACTGATCAATCATTTGACAAAAAAGAAGTTCAGAATTAAAATGAAAAAGATGAATAATTTAATTTACCCCACTCGTCATCTTGGATGGAAGGAGTGGATTGCACTGAAGAAGGGTCCATTTATTGGTGCAGACGACGATCATCGATTTCACACTGCAACGACGAAGCTCGATTCGATTCTCCCTCAAAATTGAAGCAAAGCACGCAACTTTAATACTCTATCATTCACATCTAAATCGAATCTTTCTCGATTTGAAAAAGAAGGTATAGTGTCAGCGAAGTAAAACAGAGAATCCGAAACCCTAATACTGTTTGCGAAAAACCACTATCCTTAACACGTGGCGACTCAAGGAAAAGAAAGTATCAACTTGAAATGACAATGTTAGCCTTATCTCCCGTGTTTGACTTTCACAAAAGGAGTGCACTGAGAACATAATTGGGGCGTTTGTAAATTGTAACCTCTCTTCTAAAAGGCAGAATTGGGATTCGCTCGGGACTCGGCTCGGGGCAGAGCACTCGTAAAACGCCCCTAGACTTATGTGTGGGGCTTAGTTCCGTGAGACCTACGCCTCGACCGTCTGGGCTTACGCCCAGGACACGCCCAATGCCCAGCGTACTGGGCTCGCCTAATAGACCTTTATGCAATTGTGTGTAACTAACCTTATAAATCCTCAAATTTTCTTAATAAATCATTGACCATTCAAATTACTTTTTCCTTAATCATTAATCATTAAGTTGAGAGTATTTTATGTCATAATTAAAATAAAAGTTATTGTTCATTACCCACTAAGACTGCTATGATAGTAAATTTTAATTAAATCTTCGTTTAAAAGTATTTATTTATTAACTTTTGTAATTTCTTTATTATATAATAGTCCATAATTATTTTATAATTATTTTCCTAAATATAATTTTTTTTCACATATACGAGATACAATAGTCATTAATTTAATAGCCCAGTATTAGCTAGTAACTATTTACAAATAATTAGTTATCATGGCATAGTATGGTGAATTATGTGTCACTTTATTAACTTGTTGTAGCTTAAAAATTAATTATGCTAGAGAATCATATTTAAATTGTGAATTATGTTTTTATATAAATTCTCTTTCAAATAGAAAGCATATTACATACAAAGAGTATTTAAAAAACTATCAAATTATAATATCGAAACTTTTTCAAGATTCATTACTCCTTAAGAGATACATATAAGATTTCGCCTCGAATACATTACTTTTGATGTTTGAGTTGTAACGACGTTGCAGCTAATTTGCATATTATGATATATGTCATATTTTTCGTATTACTCATAGATGAATTATAATTTAAAAATATTTTAAATAGATTATTTATTATAATTTTGTGATTTTAATGTAATTTTTATAATTATTTTTTATTTTATACTATCTTAAATTTTTTTAAATTAGTAAAAGTTAGAGATACTTGGGACTTACGCCCCATGTCTCAGGGCTTACGCCTCGCCTCGTCAGAGGTAAAACGCCTCGCCTCACGCCCCCGCCTTTTAAAACATTGATTGTAACATGTACAATTGTTACGAAACTAAGCTCAAAATAATAACAACAAGAAAATAGATAAGAGATATAGAGAGAAAGAGAGGAGAGATTCTATTTCTTTCAAGTATTCAAGTGTGTACAATATCACTTCATCCTCCATTTATAGTATTACATAGAGGTATACAAAAGAATGTCATAAACATGACATTAAAAATTTTAGATCATGGAGGAAGATCATGGGGAGGTTATGGAAGTATGAGAGTTACAACCATAACTCCATAAGTATTGGAGTAGTGGGAGTTATGGAGATAATGGAGAAGAGTAATGGGTATTACTCTTTTATGAGTTATGGACCTCCACCAATAAATAATTATTTATAACAAAGTTGAAGTTCTTAGAGATTTTTTTCTTTTAATCAAAGGTAAATACAATAATTTTGTTTAGACTTCTAGAAATATAAATAAAGTCCACATAATCAAGCAGAGCGGATTGTTTCCAAATATCTTCACAAATCACTACTACCTTCCATGAAGTAGTATTTTTTTTCTTTTATGAATCACATCAATTACACTCTTGCATCCAATAGGATTTTCACCATTTTCCAACTATTCATGATTGCACGTTCAAGAGTCATTCTTATAATAAGTGCTTCGGCTGTCATGGCTTTCCCACAAATTGGATTGGGATCCATGGGTGTTTTTCAAGGCTATCCATAGCCGCAACATCAATACTTGAACGCCTAGCATCTACTTGTAAATTTGCATCAGTAAATAATAATATACCATCTTGGAGGTTTATTAGTTGAGCCGCGGATGTCACGACACCAGTTCGCCCTCTGTGAACACGTCGTGACGGTACCTAGTCTTTACGACTAGGTAAGCCCAACAATGCGAAAAATATCTAACTTGCGAAATAAATAATCAACCGAACAACTGGAAGAAACAATATATAAGATGTCGCTCGGCATATACAACTCAACATCACTGAGACCTACAATAATATCCAAAAACTCGAAAACTCACGGGAACACAAGCTAGAAGGAATACAGTAAAGTGCTCAAATCTCCAGAAATGTCTACATCAATAGTACGAATGAAGGCTAACACTACAAGATAGAGTAAAGAAGGAGACTCTTCGGTCTACGGACGCGACAGATGTAACTTGAAGTCTCCAAAATGCTCCCTGCCTCAAGGATGGTAAGCCTGTGCAGAGGTACCTGGATCTGCACATGAAAAACATGCGCAGAAAGGGCATGAGTACACCACAACGGTACTCAGTAAATGCCAAGCCTAACCTCGGTCGGGTAGTAACGAGGAAGGTCAGGGCCCTACTGAGGTTAAACATAATATAAGTTTCAACAGTATGAAATAGACAATATAAATAATTACACCACTGAAATAAGACAGGTTATATAAGGCAACAACAAATAAACAAGAACGGAGAAAACACGGAAATAAGAACAGCTCAATACCAATGGCGACAACGAGGATCTCCCAGGATACCGTCCTGTAGTCCCTCTCATCAACTGTCCAATGGATCTTCCGGGATACCGTCCCGTAGTCCAATTATTAATGCGCGGGGATCTACCGGAACCCTGGTCCGTAGTTCCAAATATAAATACCGAGTACTGAGGGAATCTATCGGGTGCATTCCCGTAGTTCCATATAACTGTGCAGAGGGATCTACCGGGAATCTAACCCGTAGTCCCAAAGTACACAAACAAGGGGGAGCTACTGGAATCCCACATCCGTAGTCCCAATGTAAATACGCAACAACAACAAGAAGATATTTAGAAATGAAATTTCTCATCACGGAAAACAAGTAATTCTAGCCTAACATGCTTCACGTAGTACAATCAAGGCAATTTAAGCAAATAAGCAATTTAAGTCAACTAAACGTGCTCTTCTACCTAACCACATGCTAAATTCACAAGTATAATAAAGCAGGAAAGGAAACATGCTAATAAATACTTTAAGAAAAACTCGATTTCCAATAATTTGTACAAGTACGCGCTCGTCAGCTCACGCACAAGGCAATTCAGTTACCAAATATACCAATCCTAAGGGGAAGGTCCCCCACACAAGGTTAGACAAGCCACTTACCTCGAACCGGCTCAAAATCAACTAGAAACCACGCCTTTGCCACGAGTATCCAACTCCAAATGACCCAAATCTATTCAATTCCATTTCATAATGTAAATAATACTTCAAGAAACAGATTCTACAATTAAATTCTAAGCTAATACGCGAAATTATGCAAAATGACCAAAACGCCCCTAGGGACCACTTCTCGGAATCAGGTGAAATTTATATTTTCAGAATCCTCACACTCACACGAGTCTAGCCATATAGGAATCTCTCAAATCGTACGGCCAAAACCCAATCAAAATCCAATAATTCGGCCTATGAAGTTTCTTCTAATTTTTCCCAATTTTAAATCCCCAATCTGAATTTAGATGATGAAATTAACTATAGATTGATGGAATATAACTATAAAGGGTTAAAGAGTCGTTACCCAGTGATCTCCTCTTCAAATCCCTCTCAAAAACGCCCTCTCCCGAGCTCCAATTTGATTTCTCCAACTTTTGAAACAAAACCCTCGAAATTCATATTTCTGCCCAGTGATTTCCACATCTGCGGTCCCACTTCTGTGGAACATATGTCGCATCTGCGACTTTCATTAAAATTACCAGGAGCCGCATCTGCGGTACATCTTTCGCAGATGCGATACCGCTTTTGCGGTTAAATATTCGCATCTGCGGAACCTGAAGGAGCACCCAAAATCCGCTCCTGCGATCTCTCAGCCGCTTCTGTGGCTCCGCACCTGCGGGATCCAAACTGCAGGTGCGGTTATGACAGACACCAACAATTTTCTGCAACACTTCAACTTCAAAATCCTTCCGTCAACCATCCGAAATCATCCCGAGGCCCCCGGGACCTCAACCAAAAGCATCAACGTCACCTAATACCTTATTCAAACTTGTACCAATCCTTAAAACACCTAAAACAACATCGGAAACGCAAATCAATCAAAGATTTAAGCCTAAGAACCCTAATTTTCCTCAAAATACGCTTTCGATCATAAACCTAACCAAACCACCTCCGAATGACCTGAAATTTTACACACACATCCCAAATAACATGACAGAACTACTGCAACTTCTGGAATCCCATTCCGACCCTCAGATCAAAATCTCACTATCGGACCGGAAACTTCAAAAATTCAAACTTCGGCATTTCAAGCCTAAATTAGATACGGACCTCCAAAACACATTTCGAACACGCTCCCTGATGTTCCAAACGTCAATACCACACAAGATGGGGGGGGGGGTGATTTTTGTGGTACCCAATTTTCGATCTAGAAGAACCTGGTTCTTCTAGGTGTTCTAACTACTACTGTTACGGAATTAAAAGTACAGAAAATAAAGAACACAGAGATTTTTACGTGGAAAACACCTGGCTCAAAAGGTGAAAAAACCACGACCTACTACTCAGTAGGATTTTCCCAAACATCTACTAAAATCAATGAGCCAAAACAGCATTTACAAAACTCTTGTAAACCTAAGGATTAACTCTAATCCCAGTGTGGCACACAGCCTCAACTATTGCGACACCTTCAAGTTAACTCTAACTTGAATACTCAAAGTACCTAATATAATTGCTTCTATGAAAGCTGGAAAGGTACAATTTTAAACCACCTACTACAATTGAACTAGAATAAGAATAAACACAATGGAACTGGTTCTTCTATCTCGTTCAAGTAGCTTCAGGAATGCACACTTAAATCTCACATAAATTGCTTGCAAAATTGACTTGCTCT